CCTGCCGGACTGGGAGAGCTGGGGAGGGAGTTGGGGACTAGGGGAAGGGGGATGCTCAATGGCTTCAAATCCCTGGAGCCTGGTGACATCCAGGGAAATGGGAGCTGTCCGAGTACATGCGGAGGCCTTGGGTCCTCCATGCAGCGCGGGCCGAGAGATGCTACGGGGATAATGCTAAAGACTTGCGCCTCTTGCCCTCCATCCTTGGAGGTTTTGAAGACCTGGTTAGACAAAGCCTTGGCTGGGACGGTGGAGTTGGGCCTGGTCGTGCTTGGAGCAGGGGTTGGACTGGATGTGACCTCCGGAGGTGCCTTCAGCCCCCCTTGTCTGATTCTAAATAGTAAAGAGAAAGTTTATAGGGAAAGTGTAAGGGCAACAAGGGTGATCGGTGCTATGGGACGAGACGAACGAGGCCAGGCCTGGTGGGGTTAGGAGAGAGGCGCTGGAGGCGGGGCAGGACGGGGGTTTGCACCCTACTAAGTGGGGAAGAGGCAGTCCCGGGGGATCAATTCCTGGCCGTGTCACGCCAGACAAGGACGAGGGGTCCCGGCACGAGACAAGCAGGCCAGCAGAGTAACACCGACACCAGGACAGTCGTTTCCCCCATGTGAGATGAAAGGGGGGAGCTCGCAGGCACCGGGTGCCGGGGGAGCAGGCAGTTCAACCAGATCTACCCGGGGGCTGGGCCCGTGCTGGGGCAAAGGGGCATCGGGGTGTGTGGGGCACAGCTTTGGGGTCGCCACGTCCTGGACCCTTGATGGCTGAGAGGGGGAGAGGAATGGGGGAAACCCTGCTTGGACCCTGTCACTCTCACTTCCAGTGCTGCTTTCTCCTGCCCTGGCACCCCGGGGAGCGGGCAAGATGGACCTAGGCTCTGACCCCGTCCATGGCAGCTCTCACGTTATGTCCCTGTATCTCTAAATCAGAAGCTGAGGCTTCTCCCGGCTGCACCCCCTTGGCTAGACCCAGAGACAGAGCTCTTTGCCTCCATGTTTCTCAGGTACCGAGAAGGGACATCCAGTTTGTGGCTCTTGATGCATCCCCTCATTCCTGCACAAGCGTCACTCGCCTTTTGCCCTGGAAACGAAGCCCCCAGAGACCGGGCAGCGTGTCTTTAACTGTGGGAACTGATTCCAAGAGCTTTGGTTTTAAAAGGAAAAAAGCCACTGCTTTCCTTCACCACCTCCCAGCCCCGCAAATGGAAGTGGGTGTCTTTGAGGGTGCGTGGTAGGTGGGTCATTACGGTAATGAATAACCCGGCTTGAATTTGCGCTTTCTGCATCACTTTGGGCTCAGACACAAGGAGGTTCCCCCCATGATCTTTGTCTCTCTGGGCTGTGTGATGCCCAGCTCCAGATTTAGAAACCCGCCTGCCCGTTCAGGCTTTATTTCCACCCCTTTGCTCCATGTGTTTCCCGCTGCGAGTGGCTCTCCTGGCCTTCGGGAGCTTTGGCGAAGCAGCCGAACAACACGGGCGCTTCTGCGGGTGCTGTCTTGAGCTGGGCCTGACCTTTCCTGAGGCCTGAAGGCAAATGTGCTACGTTCCCCCACTTCACCTTGCAAATTCACTGACGGGAAGATGCAGGAGGATCCCGAGCCACACACAGAGGTGTGGGGGACGTCCACGGACACTCGCGTGCAGCCACACGCGCGCGTGGAGAAGCCAAGTGTCTGGGACACGCGCAGACACCCACGTGCATAGACCCCTGACACGTGTGTGCACACACACACATGCACACACCTTTCTCCCCAGACAAGGAGCTGCAGAAAACTGACTCCAGCCCTTCCCTCCAACTTGTCTTTCCTCCCTTAAGCCTCTGACCGCAGAGCAGAGCTGGGACCAGAGTGCTGCGCTCCCTTTTAGTCTTCCAGGTTTTTGGGCAGCTTGTGAAGCTGCCGCCGGCTCTGGTGGAGCCAGGTCCTTTCCCTCTCCAACGAACAGGGGCATCAGCTCCTCGTACTTTAAAACGCTCCCCCCTCCCCAAAGCAAAAAGGACCAAATCATAGGCACACGCCCGTGTACAAGCGCCCACCCAGCTCAGCCGTGTCTCCTGCTTGCTTTAACGAGGTCCTTCAAGACGACTGCATGGTGACTTTCCGGTCTTTTCAGTGTGATGCTGGCTTTGGAAATCCTGCTGGTGGCCTATAATGAAGAGCTCCTTCCTTCTCTAAAAGCAGCGTGAAGGCATCCCACCGTCTCCCAAGACAGCAGAGCTAAAGACAAATAACACTTACAAATAAGGAGCTGCTTTTTCCCTCTGTTAATCCTCTCTCTCTATATATCTATATTTTAATCAACCTTATTTTAATTTTAAAGGGAGAGGTGAGAGAACCTAGCAATAAACAGCAAGGGAGATGTGTTTGAGGCAAAACGTGTCCGTCTCAATGCAATGGGAATCCAGCATTTTCTCCTTCTAACTGGTGATGGTTTTTTGAGTGACTTAGCAGGCCTCCTGCCATGCGTAACATTTATGATGTGGTTCTCTGGTAAATTTAGACCGGCCACAAGTACAAAGTCATGATCATGCCACGAATGGGTTAAGAGTGCAATAAATTTAGGCCAGCCGCATGTGGAAAGTAGTGACGGCACAATTAATGGTTTAAATGTGCAATACATTTAAACCATTAGTTGCGAAGGGTGGGGACGTAGCTCATTTGCCTTCAGACCAGCCCCAGGTACAAAGTAATGATCATACAATTAATGGGTGAAGTGTGCAATAAATTTAGACCGGCCACATGTGCAAAGTAATGATCACACAATCACTGGGTTCAATATGCACTAAATTTAGACCAGCCACACGTGCAAAGTAATGATCGTGCAATTAACAGGTCACATATGCAACAAATTTAGACTGGCGACACATGCAAAGTAATGATCGTGCCATTAATGGGCAAAATATGCCATAAATTTAGACCGGCCATAGGTGCAAGGTTATTATCATGTCATAAAAATGACCATCCTGCTATGAAAAGAGCCGACCAGCTACAAAATCAGTGCTTGAAAATGTGTAACAACTTTATAGCTAGTTCCTATCCTGCTTTAATTTGAACGTGGAGCAGGACCCTCAGACACTGCTGGTCTTGACACACATTCAAATGGCTTCTGTGTCTTTGCTTTGGACACTAGGATGGGTGGACCTAGGATTTTGAAAAGGGGGTGGGTGGCGGGATGGGGTGGTACATCACCACATCTACCAGGATGCAGCGTTTCATCAAGTCGAAAAGAAGCTTTACTAATGAGCTAGCGGCCTAGGGCTGCCTTATCCAGGTTACGATCAGAGCAAAAACAAATCTAACTTTTCCAGGATGTGCATTCATTTGCTATGTCGCATGTCGTACAGTCACAGACAGCTCGGGCTGGAAGGGAGCTCCGGGGGTCACACCTAGTCCAACCCCTGCTCCAAGCAGGACCAGCCCCAACTACATCATCCCAGCCAAGGCTTGGTCTACCCAGGTCTTCAAAACCTCCAAGGATGGAGACTGCACCACCTCTCTGAGGAGCCTCTTCCAGTGCTTCACCACCCTCCTTGTGAGAGAGAGTTTTTCCTAACATCCAACCTCAACTTCCCTTGCTGCAGCCTGAGCCCATTGCTCCTTGTCCTGTCGTCTGCTCCCACTGAGACCAGCCCAGCTCCATCCTCTTTGCAGCCCCCCTGCAGGGAGTTGAAGGCTGCTATTCAATCCCCCTCCGTCTTCTCTTCTGCAGACTCAATCAGCCCAGTTCCCCCGGCCTCTCCTCACCAGTCCTGTCCCCCAGCCCCACAACCATTTCCCTTGCCCTCCCCTGGACTCTCTCCACGTTGTCCACATCTGCACAAAAACCGTTGCAGACTGAGCAAAATGAATCACAGGTCATCTCTCCATTTGTCCTGCAGTTGCAACAACAAAGCAAGCATCTCTCTCAGATTCATAGAGCAGAAATCCTGCTGCCTCCATCCCCTCGGCAGGGCCTCCCGTGCCTCCCTGACTGTTATGTCCACACCTGTTTTTAGCCTGAGTTAAAACCACGGCTGTGAAATGGGAGCTACGTGACCAGGAGCGGCTCCCAGACAGCACAACTGCAGGAGAAAAGTTTGTGTGCTAGCAAGGAGGGAAGGCTGCCAACACATCCGGAGTGAAGAGTTTAGAAGGAATCGGGTAGACTCTGAGCCATGAAGTCAACCGACCCCATCCCAGCTGCCTGAATAGGGATATTTTAAACCTTGGGTGGACCAGGAATCAAAGCAGGGGTGCAGTTGTACCACTGGGTATTAGGATCCTTCCCCCCCCGATCGATTTGTGGCCTGTCACAAGCATTTGATTGGGTTTTTTTAATTATTATTATTTGCTGTTACATTTGAAATAGTAGGCCATTGGCTCGCGGAGACTTTAATGCATGGGATTAGCCCCGATGTGCAGGAAATGTTCCCGTTTCAGAGAGAACGATGATGCCCTGATGCTTTGCCAAACTGGCGGGGCTGGACCTGTGAAAATGCAACCTTTTATTGTGAAAAAAATCCCCGTGTTGAAGTCCAGCTGTTGAATGCCGATGCACCCGCGCCCGTCAGCCCCAGCACGGGTGCGTATTCAGCTCCGATTCCGGTTAAAGTGGCATCCAGCCACAAAAATGTGCTGCCAGAGAAGGACGAGGGGAAGCCCGGTCTCAAAAAAGATAGCAAAGCGGGGTGGTCTTGTGGCCACCTGGCCCTCTCGAGGCCAACACGACGCCTCCAGGGCCAGGGGAAGGAAACCCGCTCCCCTCCGGGTTTTAATCTGTGAGGTCTAATTCCCATCATGTGAGATGCTCAAAGCAGGTCTGAGAGCGGAGCCCTGTCGGGAGCTCACCCCCTCGCCCCCCCTCTCCAACCCTCCGGGAGAAAATCCCAAGCCTCCGGCTCCCAGACCCAGCGAGGGCAGAAAAGTGTGTGCTGCGTCTCTGTAGCCTGGGCCATAAATCTTCTCTCCAAATTCAGGTTAAGCTTTTCTTTTTTCTGCAGATTAATGGATCTCTGGCTCTTCCCGTTATCCTTTTAGCACATTTTTCTTTTTCCAGCTGGGCTTGTGGGGGGGAGGTTATTATTATTTTTTTTTTCCGGTAGCACTCCCAGGTTTGCTGTCCACCGAGGCAGCCTCTTATCGCGGGGCCTTTGCAAACAGATCTCTGCTATGTTCTCTTCTCCAGGACCCCCGCGGATCTCGGCCTGGACCCTCGGGGAACAGGGGCACGTGGCAGGAAAGGTAAGATGAGCCCCAGGTGGTGGCTTGCGGGCAAGGGGGAATGGGGTGTCCGAGCTGGGGCTGGTCCCTATGGAGTCGGACCCTATATGAGTAGGCGGTTGGACCCTATATGACCCCCCGAGGTCCCTTCCAACCCTCATTTCCTATGATTTTGAAACGCAGCTTTGGTTTTTGACCCGTCCTGTCGCCGGCTGTAGGACTTTTACACCCCGAGAGCAGAGAGAGGGAGTTTGCCGGCGTCAGTCTGAAATCAGGAAGAAGGCAGGGCGCAGATGCACCTTCGAGACCAGCTGAATCAGAGATGCGTCCGCTGTCGTGAGCTCCAGCTCGCTTCAGTGCTTTGAGAGCACCGCGCAGTCGCTAAAGGGAGGAAAAATCCCAAACATTTCTGCATTCGTTCCAGTCACAAAACAAGAGAGAGAGAAAGCTCCCGGACTGTAGCAAGCCCATCAATGGGCTTCTAACCCCCGGGGCGCAGGTTGTAGCCGGGTTGGTCTGATGACACAGGCAGACAAGGCTCTTTGGGTAAATCTGATATCTTTTATTCCACCAATTCATTTTTCCAACTATTGGAGTTGGTTTAATAAAAGATACCAGATTTACCCAAAGAACCGGGTTGGCCTTCTAACCCCAGCGCATCCGTCGGATGCGGTACTTCCCACCAGTGACCTCGGGTTTAGGATACTGGGTTACGTCGTTTCCATTCTTTCCTCCTTCTCAATCCTGGGAGTGACATGAATTTAGATGGGGGGGAACCCCCCAAATTGCCTTCTTCTTGTTTGCATTTTGGACTCTCAACCTAGTAAATATATAGAGAAGAAGAAGTACGCATTGCCTTCGAAAGCTTGTCTGCGGCTATCCTTACCAGAGAGCTGCTCCAATACAAGACATCGCCCACAAAAATACTTGCCGAATTGATGGATCGCTTCTGGTTGAGCTGCAGACTCATGGAAAACCTTATCTAGAACTGATACAGCAGCAGACGTCCTATCCATCACCCTCTGCTTCCTTAAAAAGCCATTTTAATACATTTATCTTGCCCTTTTGGGGTTCTTTTAGCATCCTGGAGGGTATATTTCAATCACTAGGGATTGCAAATATACTTATATATCTATATCTAATCTAACGGGTTGAGATTCCAAAATGTGAACTATATCTATATCTTTTGCTATCTAGATAGATAGATAGATAGATAGATAGACACACATACACATTTTTTTCTTTAAGTACATACACATTTAATCATCAAGGATCTTCTTTCTTTTTTAGATAAAAGATTTAAAAGGGAAAGGTTTTGAAAGAGCCCAAACCTTCTCTTTTTTTGTCAGTGCTTTCTAATTTCATCCCCGCTCTTTTTGTTTTTCCCGTTGCAAAGTTTATAACCTGGCTGGGGGAGGGGGGATAGAAAGGCTGATTCAAACTGGTACCCAACCCTGGATAAATGCAGATTTTGGGGGGGTTAAAACTAATGGAAGGCAAAAATCACAATTCATTTCTTTAAAAAAAAAATCTGCAAAAAAGGCCTAAGTGGTTTAGACACCCCAGCTGCTCCCACTTAAACACCCACTTTAGACACCCCACTTAAAAAGCCTCTTTTTGTTTTCCACGCAGTTTTAAACACTAGGGGGTTGGAAGTAGATTCAGGTTTTGCTTTATAAAAGGGGCCGTAAAGGACCTGTTCCCATCATGAGAACGAGGAGGCGATAGCCAAGCATCAGATCAAGCAGAACAGGTTACGGTGTTTTTTCATTAGAGAGCAAGACATTTTATGACGGGGAGACCTGTCATCCCGTGTTTAAACCCACCACAAACCCATCCACTTTTAAATGAAATAAAAAACGGGGGTAGAACAACTTCCGGGCGCTGGAATCGCACCAGGGCAGCTCTTTGCTCGTCCCAAGGACCGGGCCGGTCCCCTTAGGGAGCGATCTGCAAATAGCATCGTGCCAGTATTTCCAGATTGGAAAAGGTTAGATCCAGATCTAGGGAGAGGGAGGTCAAAAAGACGTGATTTTTCTTTTTAAGGAAGGAAATAGAGGATGGGGAGAAATATTTCTCTTCTCTGCCTGGGATCCATATCATAAAAGGACCCGACCAAACGCTTTTTGCTAAAAAGGGGAGATCATCGCCAGAGTAAGAACGCGCGGCCTTCGAAAGCTTGTCTCAGTCCATCCTTACCAGAGAGCTGGTCCAATAAAAGACATCACCCCCCGAAAAATACTTGCTGAATTGAAGGATCATTGCACTGCACGGCAATAAAAGACATGGCCAAAAAAATACTTGGCGAATTGATGGATCACGGCACTGGGCTGCAAACTCGGGGAAAACCTTATCTAGAATTGATGCAGCAACAAACGTCCTATCCATCCACGCTCTGCTTCCTCAAAAAGCCGTTTTTAATACATTTATCTTGCCCTTTTGGGGTCCTTTTAAAGACCTTTCAGCAGCCCGGCGGATATATTTCAATCTGTAGGGCTCACAGACAGTATTGCAGATTATTTTGTGTTAACAGTACCATGGGTCTAGGAGAGAGAAAGACGCGTGAATGCAGTTTTGAAGGGAGATGGAGCTCAAAAAACCCTGCAAACCCCCTCGGTTTCTCTTCTCTGCGTGCTGCAACCAGGCAGCTGGCTGTCGCACCTCATCCAAGGGCTTTAGGCTCATGTGGACCTGTGGGTCCCCTCACTCGCTGTCCCGGATTTAGCAGGATTAGAAGAACCGTCATTTGACCGGAATTTGTCAAACCCTCGTTAACACCCCAACGCACCCCCTAAGGGAGGCTTATGTCCTCCAGACACCCCCACCCCTTCCACAAGCAGCTCAGGTCTTTGGGAACCAAAGAGGCAGCGGGGTGTCTAAACCACTTAGGCCTCGTTGCAGATTCATCTCTTGATATTTTGCCGGCTAGAGGCAGGTTCTAACTCCTTCCTGGACATAGGTGTCTCTCCCTTTCGGGGAGACCCTACTGGTGTCTCTCTCTTTTGGGGAGACCCAAGGGTCTCTATCTCTCGGGAAGACCCTTTTGGTGTCTCTCTTTTGGGCAGAGCCTTCCGGGGTCTCTCTCTTTCGGGGAGACCCTTCTGGATCTCCATCCTCTGCAGATTTGGGGGCTCCCAGAGGTTTCTCCTCAGCCCTGTTTGAAGGCCGGTCTCCCAGCCCCTTCCAGAGCAGGGGGATGCCGGCGCCAACGACCTGCGAAGTGTCTGTCTGCCATTCATTTCCCCTCCTTTGCTTATCTGCCATGAGAGGAGCCGGGTGGAAGAGCTAATGAGCATCACCCTTTGCAAATTGGCACAGGAAGCCTTTTTAACGAGACTCCCTTGTTTTGCAAACCCCCCTGTTGGTTTTTGGTGGAGAGAAGAGAAAGCAAGACCCTCCCCAACCCCCCCAGGTCTCTGAAGCAGCCCAGAGACAGCCTCCAACAGAGCGGGGTGGAGGGGGAAGGACAGAAGCCGTGGGAGGGGAAACCCAAGCCCCTTCCCGCCCAGGGTCATACTAAACACCCAGAAGCAAGATAAGCTGACAGTGCTCAAGGCCAACAGCCAGAGTCAAAGAGGTTGAGAGAATAATAGTAAAAGCGCCAGAAAACCCAAATGTAACAGCAATAAAATAGATCATCCTCCCCCCCCCCCCCCCCCCCATCCCGGCTGGTCTTGCTGCTACGTTTGTGCAGCTCCGTGCGCGGGTGGGCGCAGTTGCAAGAGGCTTTGGAGAGCGCTCAAGGGCGTTTCTCCCTCTGACCCGTCCAGCTCGGATCTGCCACGTCCAGCCGCCCATGCCAAAGCAACCCACCGAACCTGAACGGATCTGTGCCCAAAGCCCCTGGTCCTGCTGGCTGGGATCTTCCCCCACAGCTTTGATGGGCAGCCCAACCTTGCAGCTCCCTGTGCTGCGCTTTGCCTTCAATCCCCAGCTCCCGGAGTCCCGTGAAAACCCAGCTTGATTCGACCCATCTCCTAGCTCACCAACGAGGCACCCCAGCTCGAAACCCAGCCCGTTTTCCCAGCTAAAGGGAATTGCCCTTTATTGTCAGGTTGGATTCGACGTTGCCTCCCAGCGACTGGACCGGTCTTGGTCGCATCTATTATGATTTTGTTTCCCCTCGGGTGCAATCCAGAGATTCCCGGACCCGAGGCCCGTCGCGCTTGGAGCTGTACAAACTCTTATTAGCCCCCTCCTACCTTTCCTGGGCTCCCTTTGCCCCATAGACATGGGGTTTGGGTTTCAAATCCGGACTTGGGGGACTTCTAACCAACCCTTTACTGCTAGGCATCACTGCCCTTCGTTTGCTAGGCAGGGTTTGGGCAGAGTCAGGCCTGGAAATGCAGCCCGTGGAAAGGCATATACCCGCTACTTATTTATGAGCTCGTTAAAACCCTGGTAATTAACCCAAGCAAGTCCTAAGGCTGGTACGAGGGACCTGGGCCTGGGAAGGGAGTGCAAGGACTAGGGTGAAACGATGAAACACTCGTGCCCCACTTTCACGGGGTCGCTGCGCACGGCAGCCGGGGGAGAAGGAATTAGGATTCTGCCTATGCAGCACAGCGCCAATTAGACCCGTCCTGAGCAGAGGACGCAGCTCATCCGTGGGAGGACGCCCAAGGTTGTTGCCCTGGAGGGGGGGGCAGGATGGACACAGAGGGTCTCCCCACGGGAGCCCCTCTGCTCTCATTAGCTGGGAGCCCTGCTTTGTACCAGACCCTAGAGACCCTGGTTGGGATCAGGGCCTGGCGTGCTAGGTGCTGGACAGACTCCCAGCAAACAGCCCCTCCACCCCACCCCTGCAGAGACAGGGACATGCCCAGGGTCGCAGGGTTGCAGTGGCAGAGACCCCAGACTCCACTGGGCACCCTCATAGGGACCTGGCAGCCCTGGGTTCGAGATGGGCACGGAGGGGTGGGGCGCGGACAGCTGAGCTGGGTGAAATCTGGGCATCTACCCCCGCCCAGAGCCCGGCCTGCGTGTTTGATGCTTCCGGCAAGACCCTCCCGTCTCTCGGCTAGCCCCGTCCCGGGTAGGACAGCTCCGCGCAGCCCACCCGAGATCTCCCCTGACCTATTTGCGGCCCTGGCAGGCGACTTCAAGGGTATCCATCGCCGGCCCTTAGCGTGTGCATGCGTGTGTGCAGGCCCCTGCAG